ATAAATGAGACCCTCTTAAAGTTGTAGAAAGAAATTTTTGTGCAGTAAAAACCCTTGGGAAAACTTGGTGTCTCAGATTCATCTATTAGATTTACACTTCACTTTGGCTGTTTGTCCTCTGAGTCTTCTTCCAGATTTGGACATTCACAATTGTCCTCTTGATCCAAACATTTCATCACATACATCATCAGAGAAAAAGACAGAGAAGTTTACAATGAATAAATGAACTCAGATCTTTAAATTGTTCTGCTTACTTGATCACATTTCTATCCACTTGTTGTTCCACACAATCTACCTTATTTGTTTTTGCATTTGAAGACAATAAAATTACTTGACAATTCATTTCAAGTAACTGAGTTCATATGTAGATGGTTTTTACACAAAAATTTTAGAAAATATTATCATGGTTCCAAAACCAGACACAGAGATTTCCATTTCTTATTTTTTCCTGTCTTTCCTCATGGGTAAGTATTGCTAAATTTCATTTATTTTGCTGTGGTTTCATTTTAATGTAAGCAGAATGTTTGCTTCTTCTGTCTCTTCCAGTTTCCATGTTTTGCTCTGGTTCATATTGTTTGTGACAGTGACTAAGTGCAGCACTTGTCCTGAGGCTTCCCAGTTAGGACTGTGGATTAGACGTTCCTTCCATGCAATTCTGGGATGAGAAGAGTCAGGGTAGTAAAGGACAGACTGCATTCTGAGAACAGAAAGAGAGGAAAGGCACAGGCAGCCAAGAAGGAGCTGGCAGGAAAGCTGAACAGCATGAGGGAAGAGAAAGGAGACGCAGCACCAAGAAGGAAATGCTCCTGGAGTGGGGGTGCAGTGAGGGGGGCTCAGTGGGTCAAAGTCATTGCTGCTGAAGCCTCAGGACCCAAGTTTGACCCCAGGAACTCAGGCCAAAAGCCAGATGTGTTGGTGTGCATCTGCAGTCCCAACACTTGTATGGCAAGCTGGGAAGCCGAGACAGGAGATTCCTGAAGCTTACAGGTCACTTAGCCTGTAGTGTTCTCAGCAGCAGAAATGGGAGACCCCCACCTTGACAGAGTGGGGGGGATCACTCCTGAAGATATTCCTCTGACCTCCGCATGTGTACCAGGGCATGCACGTATACACACACACACACACACACACACACACACACATACACACACACACAGATATTTAAAACTTTTCTTAAAGGTCATGTACAGGGCCAGGCATGACCTTGTTTAGTCCCAGGGCTCTGGAAGCTGAGGCAGAATTCAGGTTCAATGTTCTTCTTTCTCCTCTTCACAGGCTCAGTTAGGCAGCAGTGACGTGTATCTTCTGTGATCACACTAATTGTTTCCTTTGCTTGAATTTATTAAATTTGTTTTTGGCTCAGAATGGATAAATCTAAAACTGGCATCACTTGTGTGTTTCCTAGGTGTCATGCGAATGTCCCAACTAAACCCATCTCCAGTACCAGACCCCACCATTGATAAATGCCAGCTCTCAGGGAGCACAGTCACACAAGCTAACTTTTCAATTCTATGCCCTGTGGAAGGAAACACTTTGCCCGTGTTTTCAAAAAGAGCTTGGCAGTGTTCATATGGACACAGCATCCTTTCCTTCAGGCCTGCTAGCCTTACATTAATTTGTTCTGCTGTGCCATGTCTCTGCGAGAACACAGAATTCACATCCTTTTGAATTCCATCAACAAAGCACACTGAAAGAGTTTGTTTTCAGCAAATTTTACTGAGCATTTTTCAGCTAAGAGAAAAGGATGTCATATCACACAATAGCCAATAAGAGTCCAAAACCAAATAAAGCTAATTATGTCACTTTCAGTTCATGAAGCCCAAACAGGCTCTACTTTGCTCTTTTGTTTTGCTCTTAGATTTTATTGCAGGTCAGAGGTTCTGGTCACAGGAAAAAAGGTTTCCTTGATGAAATCTTCTTTGTCTAGGGAGATACCAGCAGGCAGAGGATAGAAGGCATCCATTCCAAAGGCACAGTCATAAGGAAAGTGACTCTTGCTGGTTCACCTCAGAGCAGGAGAAATCATTCATGGTCAGTGAATGAAGACATGTGGTGATGAAAGGAATCTCCTAGACACATGATTAATAGGGAGGGACAGGTTGCGTGAAGATAAGGCATTTAGCTGCTTGGCGTTAACAAATTGCACAGTTTTGAGAAAGCAACTACTTAAGACTGTTGGGGCATTTAGTTACGAGTATATTAAATTCACAGTGGTGATCTCTGCTTCAAAACACAGAGTTCACTTCACCAGTGAGCCTCAGGGCCCTCTCATAGCACAGCAGGGCCTCATTCACTTCCCCTTTCAGTTTGTGGACCAACCCAAGCAGGCTGGTGCTTTCCACAACACGCACATTCTGGTGAACACGTCTTGCAGCCAAATTCTCCAAAGCCTTGAGAAGGTTTCCCTTGACAGAAGCTGCTCCTTCTACTTGTAGACCTTTTAAATAATGTGTGATTGCTGTGTCATCTGATTTCTTGTGAAATTCTTGGAAACGGCCGTAACGGAGTTGAATCTCTTGCCCTATGTGATCATCACGGTTCTTTGTGATCAGTGCTTTCTGAAAATTTTCCTCTGCTTCTTGGTATTGGCCAAGTTCTGCCTGCATCTCGGCCAGGCAAACATTAGCCAACCCAAAAGTGGGCCGTAGTTTTAAAGTCTTTTGAAATTCATACTTAGCCTTTTGTACCAATCTCTCCACTTCATCCTGCCTACTAGGTTTGTTGGTACCTTTCTTTATTTGGATGATTTGTGATCTATAGCAAAGCCCTATTTGGTAATGCAGGTAGGCAGAAGAGGGTAATTCCTTCAAGGCCCTTTTTAGAAGAAGAAGAGCTTTATCTGTACAGTCTTTGTTTTGGTAATATTTGGCTGCATAGCGCAAGACATAAGGCTGGGAGGATTCGCTGGTAAGCGCTTCATCAAGGTACGTTTCTGCTTCAGCTTCTTCTCCTAGATCCTGAAGCTTTAAGGCAAGGAGAACTTTAATATAAGCATCTTCTGGATTTAACCTGACGGCCTTCCTTAGGGGTTCTAGAGAAATCTCATTATTATAATCTTGGCGATAGGCTGCGATGGCGTAACCAGTGCAGAATTCAGGGTTTTCAGGCTCCACTTGCAGAGCCTTCGCAAAGCAGGCCATGGCATTTTTATAATTCTGAATTCCACACTTCACCATGGCCCATCCTTCTTCACAGTCCATCTCTGGACACTCCATCCTATAGCGGAAGGGACTTCCCAGCTCCTTGCATGTGTTCTCCACCTTGTCCAGGTAGGTCTGGGCTTCTTCCGACCTGCCCATGTGGAAATGCACCCAGGCATAGTTGCCCCAGGTCACCAGGCTTCTCTTGTCCCTCTGGTCAGCACGTTCTCTGTGGATCAGATCTTCGGCTTCTTTCAAACTCTGCAGGGCTTCCTCATGCTGGCCTGTCAGGTGTTTCACATAGGCCATGAGGTTGTGGATCCCAACACAGTACTTGGTGTCTAAGAACTTGATCTCCTCAAAGATCCTGCTTTCCAAATCTGGTAGGTCAGTGTCCTCGAATAGCAGCTTCCATGTGAAGTGACATCTCAGCTGAAGCAGACCGTCCTTGACCTGTTGATTCTCAGCATTCTCCCTGTGAGAGGGAAACAGATTTATTGGTTATATGACAAACAGCCAGAAAAAGACACCAAATATAGTACTTTTAGTAACATAGAAGTTTATTTATTTTAAAATTTCACTTTTATTTAAATTTTCCATGGCATTCCTGGATTTTTAAAATGACATTGTCATACTTAGCTTCATCACTTGACACAAACCTAGAGTCACCCAGGAAGAGGGAATCCCAACTAAAGAACTTTCCAGATCAGATTGGCCCAAGGCCATATCTGTGATGCATTTTATTAAGTGTCTAATTGATAGAAGGGCTTAGCTCACTGTGGGCAGTGCCATCCCTTAGGCAAGTGGGCTTGGGTTGTATGGAAAATACAGTTAAGTAATGTAGAGAGAGCAAGGCAGTAAGCGGCATTCACCCACGGTTTCTGCTTCTGGTCCTGTCTCCAGATTTCTGCCTTGAGCTCCGGCCCTGGCTTCCCTTGTTGATGCTTTATAACTTGTAAGCTGAAATAAACCCTTTCCTTCCCAGGTTGCTTTTGCTCATGGTGTTTATCACAGCAACAGCAAGTAAACCAGAACACTCATAGACAGTTGAATGTAGTTGCTTGTCTTCCTATAGTGGTTCCTTTCTGGGAAGGTAATCATGCTATGCCTTAGAGTTCCATCTGTAAAATGGGAATAACAGTAGCATTTATCACACTGGATTTGGAAAATTAATGAAACCCTGTGTATAAACAGGTGAACTGTATTATAAACTCCATGAGAGTTTCCTACTGTATTGTTAGTGATGATGTTGGTCCATCCTTCTGTGGTACATGAATTTCATTCTTCACATTCACAATAACCCATAGCCATTGGGCATGGTGGTGCAAGTTTTTCATCTGAGTACTTGGGAGGCAGAGGCAGGTGGATCACTGCGAGTTCAAGGCCAGCCTGGTCTACATAGCAAGTTCCAAACTCCTGCAACACAGTAAAACCCTGTCTCAAACTTTCAAACTAATTAACAACTAACTAACTAACTTAAATTAACTAACAAACAACAAAACCAGAATCACTGACTTAGTGGATGTTTTCGTGTGACTGTGAGCATCTATCACACTAACAACTGTGTTAAAAGTTCACCCAAGGCCAGGAAACATTCCTCAAACTCAAGTGCCATTGATTATTCCCTGTATCATTAGTGTGAGAGCAAAATGCAGAACTTCAATAAACATTATTCAGTTCAGGACCATAACGCGCATGGATAGGAAAAGGACGACCAATGAGATGAAATAATAATTGATAAGTTTGCTTTTTCAATTTTGTTTAGAAAATGTATACATTTATAGAAAGCTGCACAACCAGTGCAGAGCCCAACTGTCTCCACCGTTGGCAAATTTCCTTTAACGATTATAACATAGACACTTAGAATTTAATATCAAACAATAGCTTTATTAAGGTTTTTGTTTGTTTTTTGTTTTTTGTCTTTTTGAGACAGGTTCCAGCTAGCTTAGAATTCACTGTGTGGACCAGGCTGGCCTTAATATTACAGAGATCCACCTGCCTCTGCCTCTCAAGTGCTTGGATTAGAGGTGGATTAAAGCCACCACATTCAGCAAGTCTTAAGATTTTAATAATAACTAATATATTCGATTTTTAAGATAAATTTAAGCTTATAACGTTAAGATATAAAAACTCATGGCTATCTACCTGTGCTCTCCCTTTTAAAAATGGGTTTTCCAAGGTTCTTATCTTGCCCAATTTACATTTAAACAAAAGGGCTTGTGAGATGGCTCAGTGGGTAAGGGTTTTGCCACTTAACCTGATGAACTGAATTCAATCCCTGCAACTCACAGTGTGGGGAAGATTGGACTCCTGAAAGTCATCCTCTGACATCCACACATGTGCTGTGGCATGTATGCACACAAACACAAAATGAATAAACATGTAGTAAAGAATTTTAAAATTAAATTAAAATAACAAGCATTTAGCCAGGCATGCTGATGCATGCCTTTAATCCCAGCACTTGGGAGGCAGAGGCAGGTGGATCTCTGTGAGTTTGAGGCCAACCTGGTCTACATAGTGAGATCCAGGACAGCTGCGGCTACAGGGAGACCCTGTCTCAAAAAGACCAAAAAAAAAAAAAAATAGCAAGCATTTAATTTTTAAAAATTTTATGTGACTGGAGAGATGGCTCAGTGGTTAAAAGCACTGACTGCTCTTGAAGACAACCTGGGTTCAATTCCCAGCACCCACATGGTGGCTACTTCCAGAGAAACCCGAAGCCCTCTTCTGACCTCCACAGCATTGCCATGACACAGGTGTACTTACATACATGCAGGCAATACACAGATACACATAAAATAAAAAAAAATTAATTAATTAAATATTTTTAAAAAATTTTTATGTGTATTGTTTGCATGTATGTAAGTGCACACATGTCATGCAATGCTCTTGCAGGGCAGAAAAGGGTGTTGAATCCCCTGGAACTGGAGTTACAGACAGTTGTTAGCTGCCATCCCAGTGCTAGGATTTGAACCCAAGTCTTCTGCAAGAACAGCTAGTGTTCTTAACTCATGAGCTATCTGTCCAGCCTCATATTAAGCATTAAAAATCAAGTTATTAATATCTGTTCAGCCTACTTAAAGCCTTATTAGCAGTTATATTAGGCTCTGTGTCTTTAAAATCAAGATTTCTACTTTATTTGTATTAAAAGTCATGTCTTTACATATTTTATGTTAAAGATTTTAGATTAAAGATTATCAATGATATAAAAATGATCTAGTTAAAACTAACATGTGATACAAAATCTTAGATATTTAAAAAAATTCTATCTTTACATTTGAATATGTGTATTATGCTGTCTATCTGTACTTATGTCCTCATAATGCATACATGGTACCACAAATGGTCTTATTAATTAAACATTTCAAGTTACATAAATTCATAATGTAACTAAAATTTTAAAAACAAAATCAATATGTGTATATAAATAAACAATCAAGATGTTATTTAGTTGATTGTTATTTCAACCCTGATTCTACAAAGATCTTGTTTCTTCCAAATAATTGCTTGCTTGCAATTTCTAAGTATCAGGATTCCAATAAAATAAAATGGAGTCTTACAAAAAGTTATGTTTTATTTAAAACCTCTGTCAATTTAAAATTTTTAAAAATAATTTTTATTTTTACAGTTAGCATACAAGGTATTAGATATCATTCTGTCATTTCCAAAGAGTATATTTTAGTGGATTCTCCTTCCCCTTTATCTCGCACAGCCCTCTGTTACCCCTAATCCACCCTGTAACAATCACCTCACCTCCACACATTGTCTTTTCCTCTTTGGGTCCCATGTGTCATATTACCCATCCATCCCCTTTCTATGTTTGTGGGTTTTGCCCACATATGCATCCATTTGTGTGTGTGTGTGTGTGTGTGTGTGTGTGTGCATGTGTATGTGTATGTGTGCACATATATACATTATAGGCTAGGAACCAAATATGACAGAAAGCATGCAATGTTTGACTTTTTGAGCTTGGGTCACCTCATTTAACATTATGCTTTCCAGAGCTATTCATTTTCCTGCAAATTTCATTTTTATTTCCAGATAAATAAAATTCCATTGTGTATATGTATCACATTTCATTATCTATTCATTTGCTCTTGGGGATCTGGGCTGATTCTGTTCACTTCCTATCATGAATAGAACAGAAATAAACATGGATGTACAAGTATCTCTGTGGCCGAGTTTGGATTCTTTTGGATATATGCTCAGGAGTGATACAGCTGGGACATAGGTAGTTCTGGTTTTAATTTTTGAGGGGCTTCCATTCTGATTTCCATACTGGCTGCTCCAGTTTGCACTCTCATCAGCAGTGAATAGGGTTTTCCTTTCGCCACATTCTCACCAGCATTTATTGTCTTACGATAGCCATTCTGACTGGATTAAGGTGATATCTAAAGTAGTTTTAATTGCATTTCCCTAATGAAGAAGGAGGTTAAATATTTTAAAACTAGTTATTGTTCAATTGTATTTCTTATTTTGAGAACTTTCTGTTCATTTCATTAATCCATTTGTGGACCGGCATTTTTGTATTTTGGTGTTTAATTTCTGCAGTTCTTTGTAAATTCTGAGTATTAGTCCTTTATCTGAAGTATAGCTGGTAAAGATTTCTTCCCATTCTATGGGATGTTTGCTCTACTGATAGTATCTTCTGCTGTGCAGACATTTTTTGATTTCATGTCACCCATCTGTAGATTTTTGACACTAGTTTCTGTGCTACAAAAGTGCTGATTAGAAAGTTCTTGTCTAGGTATTATGAGGTGTATTGTCAATTTTCCTCTGTCATTTTCAGTGTTTTAGGCTTTATCATCTTTGATCCATTTCTAGGTAATCTTTATACAGTGGCTATCTTTTGAAAGTGGCTATGACCTCCCTCTGCTTCCCTGGGCCTCCATGACCCACAGGCCTCTCTCTGACCAGCAGGCCTCTCTCTGAGGTAATTGATCATGCCCTCCATGCCTTGACTCCCCCAGCCTCATTCGCCCTCCCATCTCCCCCACCCGTATCTCCTCCTAGCCTGGGCCCTGTCCCATTCCTTCTCTTGGTGCCCCAGGTACCTGGGGAACAACACTGCTTCCTGATCCTTTGCATCTAGACAAACTCAGTTCCTTCTCGGGTCCCGAGGAACACTCTGGGCCTGGCCCCGCCTTCACCTCCCTCTACTTCCCTGGGCCTTCATGACTTGCCAGCCTCTTTCCTGGATGCCAGGGTTGACCTTTCCTCTTCCTGATCCTTTGCATCCAGACCAACCCAGCTCCTCAGTGCAGTCCCCAGGAGCCATTGGGGTCACTTCATGCCCCCATCTTCCTTTGCACCTCTGGGTGGCATGGCCACCAGCTGCCATAGACCAACATCTTTCCTCAGCCCAGCTGCAAGGCCAGTCCAACCCCCAAATTCCTGAGGCCAAAATTTTCCCTGGATGGATCCAGACCTTAGGAGAAAGCCTGAGAGCATCTGATCCTTATCTGACTTGGGCCT